CAATATATCATTGATTGACCTTTGTTCTTTATATAAATAAATGACCTTTGAAACACAGAAAAAATACGTCATGACTTTTCTGACAACCCAATATTTGAAGAAAGGGACTGTGCCTTGCCTATTTTTATATTTCATGCAATACCTATCACAATGCTTTACTTATAGTGGCAGCCAATAAATATCAAGTCCAATTGTTTTGACAGTAAGCTGGGACATGCCACTTCAGCTGATGGGCAATGATGCTGAGAACATGTGGTCCCTAAAATAGCCACTAGATGGCAGGACGGGCATGAAAGTTGCATCCTGAGAACTGCTGCTGTAAGACAGTCACTTGAACCTCAGGGAGGAAAGATGGGAAAGATAAAAACAAGAAGGGGACAAGTGAAATAGAGAAGTTGGTATTTGCTACCTAACAAAGGAAACAGTTTTATGCTTCCCACAAATGAGAGAACAGCTGTACCTTTAAGACTCGGAGTTTAACCTTCTCGATGGCGACTGTAGTTTTGGAGGCCTCTCCTTGGAGATGTGGGGAAAGCAACTGCTCAAAAGTAAATACTGCATTCTCCATGAGCTAGAAACCAAAGCAACACAGAAACAGAGCAGTCAGTGGCTGGGATCGCTACCCCCAGCTCTGTCTGAGTCGGCTGGAGAGAAGGGAGGGGATGGCCATGAGTCCCCTTGGGCACTACCTTACTCTGAGGGTGACCTAGGGCAACAGGTCCTCATCCCCCTACCTGGGCTGTGAAATAAATAAGCACATGGCCATGTGGAATCAGTAAGAGGCTGGGAAATACACACACACACACACACACACACACACACACACACACACACACAATCTGTATGTACACACGTCTGTATCTTTTTTTCTCATCTCTTCTCCTTCTGCCCTGAACTTGAAAACCTGAGACCACGAGAGTGAGAATACCATCACCTCCTGAGGTCACCCCTTCCTCCATTCTCTGGTACTTGCGCAGCCAGGGCTTAACAAGATGAGGTGGGAGTCGCCTCCAATTATTCTTTGGCTGCCTTAATTCTGCACCTCCATGTTTAGGGGGATGGAAACCACCCCAGCATATATCTCTCTCCACTTTCCATCCTATCACCTCTCATCTCTGCCAGGATGGAAAGGGGGAGGCAGGGTCAGGGCTTGGTGGAGGCAGTGGCTGCCATGTTCTTGGTTCAGGAAATGGAAGCGGTTCAGATTTCTTAGTCTCTGAACTTGGGCCTGTATCAGTTTCACCAGGGTTCAGTGTTATCCAAGGGACTTCCATTCAACTATTGCTCAATTTGGTTCCTTGTGCATTTTTAATCCCTTACAACTCAGAGATTAGATAATAAGATATATCACTTTATCCTTCCTATGAGTCCCAAGGGAAAAAAAAATGCTCCTTTCTTTTCCAAGCCTGTGACCCCATGGCATCCAACACACACCTTTCTCACAGCATTCTTAACACTGCAGTGCATTTATCTAAGCATTTGTCTCCCTACCAGCTCCCTGAAGTGGGATCTGGCACAGTGTCCAGCCCCACAGCAAACGCCCCTGGAAAATCTGTGAAATAGAATGGTGTTCTTATAGTTTCAATGATCACACCCTTTCTTCATTTATAAACCACTGTAATATGGAAAGAGTTTGTGCAATTCATTCCTGTTCCTTGTGGGGGAAGAAAGGAGCCTATCCAGTAAATTCAAAAAATCCAAATATGAAGCTGTGATTGACTGACTGATTGATTCTTAACTAGGTTAGAGAATTAATTTAAGGCAGTGGATTTCAATCCTGGATGCATATTAGAAACAATGGGAATGAGAGTGGGGGAAGTTTAATAAAAATCATTAAAAATTATTTTAAATTACTAAACTTTAAAAAATTATTTTAAATTACTAAATTATATATATATATATATATATATATATATATATATATATATATATATATATATATATATAGTCAGAATCGTTGGTGGGGCCTACACATCAGCATTTCTTCAAAGCTCCCCAGGTGATTCTAATGCACAGCCAAGATTAAGAGCCCTGACTTGACAAATCATGTAATTATTAATTAATGTCGCTCTATTTCCCTGAGATGTTTCTACTCGATGACGTTCATCAGCATGGAAGACAGATGATGCCAGCTGGAAGGACCGTACTTGTCCCCACTCAGAACGATGACTAAAGCGCTTCCGGAGCTGCGCACACAGCAAACCAGTCCCCTGTGCCCGCGCTAGCTTTCCTGCTGGCTCCATCCGTGTCCCCACACACGCCCCCATCACTCCCACCTCTTGCATGTAGTTCTGCGTCCTCTGAACAACCAGGTTGACATGGGGGAACCGGAAGCGGCTCTTGAGGTCCTGCAAGCGCTCCTGCAGCGGGCTGACTTGAACATAACACGCTTCCATCTTCACAGAATCCAGCGGAAGATTCATAAGCTGGTCCAGACGCTGCGTTTTGGTGAAGGGAACAATTAAACACGTTCAGGCTGAGGAGCCATATTACATACATATTACATAGATTTGAAACAATCAAATGTGTGTTATTAAGTTGAATCACGTATTGGATCACTGCATCTGTGACATCTTCAACTGTCCTACTTCCCTCTTTTAGTGGGTCCCTGGGGCAGCGCTATTGCTAGGACAGAGGTTGGGAGAAGAACCAGCTGCACAGCGTGAGGACCCTGGGATGCATTCAGGGGGATGCCAGTCTTCTAAACTCTTAATGGATTCCCAGCTCCCACTTGCAGAATTTCAGAACTAGGGAGGCAGGCTCTTTGGTATTGCTGCTGAGCCCACAAGCCCCCACCGCCCTCTTTAATGAGTGACGTCCTTCTCAGAAAACCCCAGGGAGGTCAGGATGCTCCCCTGGACTCCTGGACTCTGGGGGTGAAGCCAGAGTCCCTATAGTTATTTGAGGCTGTCACTGCCCACTGGGCTTCCGTCTGTTATAGGTTCACTGTGGTGTTAGTGGATGGGGGGTGGGAGATAGGAAGAGGCCTGGCCTAGGAGAGGTATCCAGTTTGAAAAACTTGGGGGTCCCTCCTCCTCTAGTTTGCACAGTGATGACTTGATCAGTGAGGCCATATGGCTTCTAACAAGAGAACAGTGACAAACCTCATCTGCTAAAGACCCTGAGTGTTATCAACATAATCTTACACGATGAGGGTCGTTGCCAACAGAACGCATTTTATTTCCCAAGCTTATTTAAAAATGATTTTTTAAATTGAGTATTGGAGATCTAGAATAAACATGAGAGTGGGTAAAGAGAAGACAGAAAGGTGCTGAAAATGGAGGCCTCAGGAGAATTGAGGCGTACATAAAGTGAGTATGAATAATACAGGATGTGCTGTCTGATTTTCAGGTCACAGAAAAGAGATAAATCTAGATTTCTAGATTTCCGTAAACAGGAATTTTAAAAGGGCCCATCTTCATTGTGTTTGTAATGGGAGCACATTACTCCCTTTAAGAAGTGAGTTATGGAGAGCGCCACTAAAGGAATTCATGATCAAAAATATGCTGTTCAACTCATCACACAATATGAAATGTGTCTATTTTAAAGAAACATCAGTTAAGCAGACAAGAGAGGAAACATTGATTACCACTTTGCTCCTATCAGACAGGTGTAAGTTTAAACACCAATCTCTGATGGGAATACGGGGAGAAAGTCCCCTGCCATACACAGTTGGTGGAAATGTAAAATTTAAATCCTTTTTTTTGCAATGCAAATGGAAATATACCTGTTACCATGAGAAAGGAACCTACTTTCAACCTAGAAATCCTGTCCTAGGAGTCTACCCCATAGAAATGAACGCATAAGAATGTATGCAATGAAGTTATTTATAACAACTTCATTCAGTAGCAGCAACATTTGGATAGGTGAATAAAACATACATAAAACATTTATGCAGCCATTACAAAGAAAGGATTTAGAGCTAGAACAGTTAACTTGCAAACAGTTCCATGAGGTATTTTTGAATAAGAATACTGATAAATAGAGTAGTGTATGTAACATAATCTCATTTTTCTAAGAGCAAGCTATCTAAAAAAAAAAATAGCCTATACATGTTGTGTGTGTTTTATATGCTATATAAGCATGGGGCAAAGTATAGAATGGTACATGCTAAGGTGTTAACACTAGCTCTTGAGAGGAGGTGGGTGGTATTGGGGAGGAGGGAGAGTAAAGGTAAGTTAAATAAAGGCTGCAGTAAGGAACCTCAAAATATTCACAAAGTGATCTTGTTTATGTACAATGACATGTGTACATATGTATGTATAAAGAAATATGAAAGGAAAAGGAACAGAGGTATCTGGTTCTAGCCACTGACTTATAGGGATGTCTACCATGATATGTTCAAGTGTAAAACCAGGTTGGAAGTTAGTCTGTCAGTGATTCTCACACTTTTGGGTGCATCGAATCCTCTGGAGGTCTTGTGAAAACACACTGTTGGGCCTACCCCAGAGTTCCTGATTCAGTAGATGGTTGGCGGGGGCCTGAGAATTTGCATTATGAACAGCCACGTAATGATGCGGCTGCTGCTGGTCCAGGGACCACACTTTGGGAAACATTTTATCATGAGTCTACATTGTTGCAAGCAAACAAACCAACAAACAAAATTTAGATAAGTGAGGATATATGCTTATACATTTGCATGAACAAGGAAAAAAGATGTGAAATCACACACTAAGCTCCTTCCAGCAGTTCATTAAGACAGTTGGGAATGAAGGTGGCCTAGGAATTGGTGGGGGACAAGGATTGGATAGGGATGGGTGATCAATTTTGTCCGTATGTATATTCGAGTCTATTGTTTCACTGGTACATGCGTGTCATTATTTTTGCAACTTGAAAACCATTAATAAAGGAACTCAGCTGGATGGATGGATGAATGGGCTGGTCGAATGAATGGATGGAAGGAAGGGAGGAGGAATGGCAGGAAGGACAGAAGGAAAGAATGGATAAATGCAGATAAAGCCCCACAGAAAAGGCGGCCCCAGGCAGACGGTTCACACTCAACTCTTTGGCTTCTTATCCTACCTCCTTGAGCTGGGCACTGTCTTGGGTGGTCTGAAAGCTCTGGTTAAGCTCATCCACTTCTTTCTCAAAGAGTGAGCGTATTTCACTGAATCCCGAGCTCACCGGTCCCATTAGCTCCTCCAGAATGGACGCCAGGAATGGTTGCACATTCTCCGCACAGCTTTTCTCTACTGGTTGGGCCACCATCGCTGAGGTAGGAAACAGCCAGAAAAGCATGACTTTTGGCAAAACTGGATTCAAAGGCACTAGAGCCAGGCCAGGGCTGGACAGTGAGTGTCCCACAGAGCCATTTAACAGTCAAGGAAAGCTCAACTGGTAAGACAGACCAGCACAGTGATGGAAAACCATTAGATGCTTTGAGAAATGGAACAAACAGAATCTCTCCCTTCCCGAAGCATCCCTCTGCCCTGAGATGAAATGCATTTTTCTGCTTGGTCCCTAAAAACGTGCACTGCTTAATACAAAAAAGAAAATGCCGGCGACCCACCAATTTACCATCAATCATCGTTATTATATATGCATAGTTTGTCTTCCAAAACCACAATTCATTAAGTTTTTTTTAAATTGAGGAATAGCTGACATATAACATTATATTAGTTTCGGGTGTACACATAATGATTCGATATTCATAAATAACAATTTATTAAGTTTTAACTCTTTTGTTTACGAGCTAATCAGTCGGTATAATTCAATTCCTCTCTCTCCTCCTCAAGATAACTTTTTAAAAACTCAAGCACAGTCTTTTCTTGGGCAAATGGAAACAAATTCCTTTCAGCTTGCCACCCCACCTCCCATTCTCACCCTCAATTTTTAGAAAACACTATTTTTTTTCCTGATAATGAAGGGCAACACGCACAGTGACAAAAATGTGCAGCGTACAGAAACTTATAGAGGGAGGAGAAGAATGTGACCATACTCCTGCTTCCCAGAGGCAAATACTGCCCTTTGATTTAGAAGAGGAAGGACACAGTGAAGATTCTGATTCAGTACGTCTCGGTAGGACACGGAAATCTGCATTTTTTCGGTGCTAAGGTGATTCTCACATCAGCTAGGTTTGGGAGCCGTAACATAGTGAAGAAAGCCTGAGCTGGAAGAAGCGTGAGCTTGCTCCATGGAGGCTAGCTTTGTGGAGCTGGGTATCATGTAGTCTTGTCATAGCATGACGACTGAGAAGGAAGTACAAACTCATCTGGGGGGGGGTCCAAGTCTTCCATTTTACAGATGGAAAAATAGAGGCCTGGAGACCTTTGATGGCTTGACCAAGGTCATACCCTCATTTGCAGAAACAGGATAATTTAAGTGTATTTCTCAAGTTTTTATTGGCAAAGAACTTGCTGACAGGGAGATATTGGCCACATTTTTACTTGATTTTGCAGAAACATTTCACAGGGTTTTGAGGCTTCATACTGCCTCTTATTCTGAAAATCTGAGATGAGCCATACCATTAATACTCTGACTCACTCACAGGTATTTAGGATAGGAAATATTAAACAGGTCATAGAATTACAAAGGGAAAAAAAAAACCTTTCAATTGTGTGACTCAAATACGAAACAAATACTCTATGACTCTGAAAAATCACGTGCTTGATACCATAATGCAAATTTGTTTGCCAGAAGATTAAATGAATTATTTATCAATTAACTGTGAGAGAAGAAATATTTGAGAAGCATCTAATTGAAATTTCAGAATAATCATGAACACGGGTAATATATAGCAAACGTTCCTCAGCAGCTGGCCGATTTCCCCTGCTGGGTGGGGGTGGAGATAGGCACAGGGGCCGTGGGAGGGCACGGTCCCCACTGCCTGCTGCCCCTAATTTTATGTACCCCATGTGCTCCAGCCCCCTCTCTGCACTTTTATTCAGCATTCCTTTTACCTGTGTCTTCCTTCTTCCACCTCTGCTCATACACTCCTATTCACGTCTTCAAGACCCAGTTCAAATGGCACCCACGTGGGACAGCCTAATTTCCCGGAATAACCACACGGCTTCCTGAACTGTGCTCCTTTATGGGGCGAATACATTTTACATCCCACAGAGCCATGCTCTGCTATTTTTAAAAAATGTAGAGATGCTGCTGTGATGATTACTGTGCTGTGACCCTTTCATTCATGAGTCATGATGGCCGCTGTGGAGAAGGTTCCACTGAGTGGTGAAGAGTGAAAGAGCTGGAATTGGAGGGGTGTGGAGCCTGACTCGGCCCCACTCCAGCTGTGGAATCAGGGGCAAGTTACTTAATCTTTGCCTCCGTTTTCTTACCTATAAATTGGAGATCATAGGAGTAATTTATTCTTAGGGTTATGGTGAGGATGAAATGAGCTTCCTATGTGTAGAGTGATTAGAACAGTATGTGGCACTCTGGAAGTACTCAGTCACCGTTAGCTCTTATTGTACCTGTTGGCATTATCATTTTGTCCCAATCAACCAGTGCTACAGTAGTAGTCTCCTTATGAGGGGCCCGCATCCTTTTCTGAAGTTGAAATGGTTCCTGGCTGAGAACCGCTGTGCTCTCTGTTCCTGCCCCTCTAACGGCATTTATCATGTTTTCCCTTCTGTTTCAGGATGGGTGACATGCCTCATATCCTCTCCACTTGTAAAATCATGCTGTCTTTTTTGAATTCTCATAGCCCTTGTATTCAGCAGGAGCACAATAAAAGTTTAATGAAATGGATAAATAATTGTGGAGCAGAGTGAAAGGCTGCTCGAGAGTTATATGGGAAGTAACGGAGCGATCACTACTTAATATTCTCAAAGACTTTTCAAAACCCAAAGCCCTCAATCGATGCAGCCTGAAGTATACTTCCTTATTTTAAAGGTGGAGAGCCTTTTAAACACATGTAAAACGTGTTTCGGAAGTCCCATTTTTAAAAGACTTCATCATGACTTCCCTTCAAGGCTTCTTACAGGAAACAAGCACTAGTCCAGGCAGAATCTTTTCCCATCTTATGTGGAATATACTGGAACTACAGAGATTTAGGCAAGAGAGAAAAGAGGGAGGCTGGTTTAATTCAGGGCATGAGAAAGACCACAGGCAGGCCCAGCTCAGCCCCAGATAAGAGGAATATGGGCACAGGAGTTGGGTGTTGGCACTTTTAAGTTGTATAAAGTATTTCTCTGGATCAGTTCTAGATGAACTCTACAGTCAACCCTAGATCAGTTCTGCTACTGGAGGAAGAAGAGACATGGATAATAGGACACAGAAAACACTCTGAAGTTCAGTTGTACCTGGCTGTGGAAGGCATGGCGTGAACAGACACACAGCGTCAGGCATGCACACCTTCACTGTAGCTATGCCTCCTCCAACCTCCCCTCGGTGGGACCTGTTCCAAGAGCCCTGAAGCAAGGTGGGCGCGAAGTGCAGAGGACAACCCACCAAGCACACATCCCTTGGTAGATTCCAAGTCTTCTGAGTACAGGACCTGGGTCTTCCCTGTTCACTGCTAAAGCTCCATCGCCTTGCTCAGAAAGACTTAGTAAATATTTTTGAATGAATGAGTGAGCGAGTGAATAATCTGAGACTTGATGATGTAAGGAGATTGTTGATAATCACGGATAAGGCAGCGTGCTATTCCTCTGAAATGACGCTCAGTGTGATGTGTCTGTTGAGATGTAGGAATGGATAACAATAGGATTCTATCCTGTAGAACCTTTAGAGGCCATCTAAGGCCTCTTGAGAGACATTAGGCAAGCTTTTTTATTTTTGATCAAAAGCCAGACAGTGAACATCTGGGGCTTTGTGGTCCATAAGGTCTCAGTTGCAACTACTCAACTCTGCCCGCGTAGCATGAAAGCAGCCACAGACAATGCGTAAATGAACAGGCATGGCTGATTTCCAGTAAAACATTCTTTACAAAAATAGGTGGATGGCTAGATTTGACCCAAGGGCTACCACTGGCTGACCCCACTCTCATGGGTGCCTGTGATTTCAGAGAACACAGATGCACACAGAAGTCAAGTGACCTTCCTGAGTCCCCATGACTGGCTAATGTTGGAGCTGGGACTAGAATCCAGATTTACCGAGTCTAAGCCAAAACCTTTTCTTCTTTTCAAAGGAAAAGGCGTTTATGTATCAATTCAAATATTCACTGTGAGCCTGCATATACCAGGCATGGTACTAGGCACTGGGTATACCTGAGTGAACCAGGTCAACATAGCCCTGCTTGTAGAGCCTTACAACAGAGAAAGAAAGGGGCGGAAGCCCTGACAAGTCAATGTAAGAAGTGCCACAACAGGGGATGTGCAGATGGTGTCGGAATACACCACAAGGCAAGAAGCAAAATGTCCTCCACCTCGCGTGGCTGAAGTTTCCATGGGGAGGCCCTTCACAGTACCTCTAAGCATGGTCCCTATGACAACCATTATCACCTCTTTGCAGTCCCCTCAGTGTACTTCTCCTCAAAAACCATGAATTCTAACTGTGCAGTGGAGCCCTACGTGCACAGCTTATTTCATTGGTAACAGTAGGGATGATCTCTACTGACCTTTGATCTTTCCAGTTAAAAAGTTCTTTGAGTTCACAATCTGATCCATGTCCGAACGGATGGTTCCTTCCAGGCCCTTCGTCAGAGCTCTGCATTCCTCCTTCAAGCCACTTAATCCTTCTGAAACTTGATGCTGAACCAGGTTGTAAGCCTCCTCAAGGAGCTGCAACAGAGAGCAACACATACATCGAGGCTCTGTCCCTGGGAGTGCCTGACACAAAGGCAGGGAGGAGGATTAATCGCAGACTACCGTAACGTCAACACAACTGCACACGCACTCTAATTTCTCTCTCAAAGTTTAAGTCTGTTTGGATTAGTCCTCACGTAAGTGAGACTGAGCAGGCTCAAGGTAGGCATTTCTCCACCCCGAGAAGGAATTATTTTACAAAAAGAAAAAAAAAACACACAAAAAAAACAACAAAACGCTGCCCGAAAAAGGGAAGGGAAGGGAATGCTTATTTTGAGTGGCACAGTTGCAGAGCAAAATCATCACTTACACCGAACCAGGCCCTCTTTCTGTCGTTCTTCTTCCCCTTCATTTTAGGCAGAAGGTCTGTCTGAAGGGTCGGCAGCAGTTCCTCCATCACCAGGTTACTCAGGATCTGCAGAGCGGACGAGGGCCCCAGAGTCAGTTGGTTGGTGATGGCTGCACCTGAGCATCAGGCCAACTGAAGATGTCCTGACCGGCCGTCCCTGTCCTGGCTATGTAAGATGGTCCTGAGCTACCTGAAATCTGTTAGGGTAACAGTTTCTCCCTGGGTCCAAGGCCATGGAAATCTCAGCTAAGACAATTTAGAGGGTGAACGTTCTTAAACATCTGCAAGGAACCTTAACATCGGCTAATGTTTTCCCATCGGAAAGGACAAATTCCTCAAACTTCTAAGAGTCAAACTAGAAGAATCGAGTGCATTTAGGATAAGAGGGAAAACTTTAATTACGGATAAGGGCATTCAATTGTGAAGGGGGTCGGGCTTGGTTGTGGTGGCTTGACTCCTTGTTTGAATCCCCCGAGACCATCATTCCTCCTCAAACTCCCTTGGGATCTAAATGTCTTTGCCTTTACTGTCCCCTGAACCCCACCTCCACCCTCTTTAAAGTTTAGAAAAAGAAGAGAGTAATAAATACTTTGGAACAACTAGACATTTGTGAAATGAGCAGGATGTAGGAAGGGGAGGTCTAAAGTTTTCAGGGTGTTTCTTTTAAAAAATGATTCCCAAATCTCTCCTAAAATTGTGTTCAATTCAATAAAAATGTTTCCTCTGAACCTGAGCAGTGCTTCATGTCCCCACATAATAGTCCATGTGACACTAGCCTCTCCTCCTTCACACCTCCGCCTATTGAAGCAGTTTTATTGTTTCGATTCACTTTCACTATGAGTCTTTTGGAGCTCACATCTCAGCTTTCAATATCAGGCAGCAGACCAAAATTTACAAAAGAATAAGACTCATTTTGGGAATGGAGGAAGGCATAAAAATAAAGACTCATTTGACATCTGCTCTACGAATTTCAAATAGCATTGGTCCAGAATAATTGAAATCCAAATTAAGCTCCAGGAATTAAGTAAGATTTTTCTCTGAGTGCATCAGTTAACCTCATGCTGGTGGAAATACTCAGGACTCACTAGAGGCTGCTTTTCACCAGGTCTCTGTTACAGCAAGGTGTAACTGAACTAAACAAAACAGGAACCCTCCCAGTGTGGAGGTGGGCAAGCCATCCAGTCCTGCGTGCCTGTGGGTTCCTGGGAGAGAGGGCTGCTCGGGTCAATGCAGCAAGTGGGGGTTGGGAGTTCAGGGGGTGGGGTGGGGTCAGGGCTGTCATCTGCAAAGTGGAACTTTGTGGTGTGGCTAAGATTATAATGGGGATAGGATTTCCACTAGTCCTGGTAATTCATTGGTGGGGATGTTGTTTACCTTTCTTAATTAACCATTCTCTTGGGGCAGTCAAGAGGTGAACCAGCATTTTTTGAGAACTTAAGAACTTGATATGCACAAACTCCATGGAAATCAGCAGGTCCAACAATTAGATTCAAGTAGGTAATTAATAACCCATGGACTTCCATTTTGCTCAGTGGAGTAAGTTCTTGTTTGGAACACATCTGCCCAAGAGTGATGAAAGTGTGGCATTGGTGGAGTGAGCTAAGAGCATAAGGAGGCTGAAGCCAGGACTTAAAATCAATGGGAAATATTATCTCAGCTGAAAAGCGTTCAAGGTAATTACCCTAATAATAACAATTGCTCTAATTCATCCCTTTGCAGAGAGTGGTTTGAATCTGAGCATAAGCATGAAGGGGGCGTTGAAAAGAAGAAAATAGTACGAAGGCCAAAGAAAGAGAATGCTCCATCTAGGTGGGTTTATAGGTTTTTTTTAGTCTTTTCCATATCATGTTCCAAGAAATTCGGTTCTCTTTTATAACTTAGGGAATTGAAAAGGAATATATCTGGGGAAAATAAAAGGCGGGGAATGGGGTGGGGTGCAAGTTAGGAGGCTTAGGGACAGCCACAGGGCAGGCAGGGCCTCTGGGTGCTAAGGCCCAACTGTGCCTCATCTCAACACCGTCATCCTCTTCCTCTAACTCCAAAACATGTGGACAAGGCCTAAAAAACGTGGATAGTTTTCTTGTCTTGAAACTACTCTGTTCTGTGGGAACACTGCTCTCTCGGCTCATCCAGTTAATTTAAAGGCAAATAATACAAATATCCAATAACTGTAAATACTTTACATGTTGCAAAATGCTTTCCCTCATGCCCTCATTTGATACACTTATATTATATTGACAAGTAGAACATATATTTACTGGTGTACAAACACAGTTGTTCTCCCTTATCTGCGGGCGACACATTCCAAGACCCCCAGTGGATGCCTGAAACCACAGATAGTACCAAACCCTACATATACTAAGTTTTTCCCAATACATATATACCTATGATAGGGTTTAATTTATGAGTTAGGCATAATAAGATATTAATACCAATAATTATACAATATAACAATTATAATAATATACTGTAATAAAAGTTATGTGAATGTGGTCTCTTGCTCTCTCTGATAACTGATCTGATAATCGAGGTGGTACTAAGTGATTGACAGGTGGGTAGCATGTACAGTATGGATACTTTTATGTTGGACAAAGGGATGAATCACGTCCCCAGATGGGATGGAGCAGGACTGCGAGAGATTTCATCACGCTACTCAGGGCTGTGAGAGATTTAAAACTTATTGTTTATTTCTGGAATTTTCCATTTAGTATTTTTGGACTGTGGTTGACCAAGGGTAACTGAAACTGTGGAAAATGAAACGGCGGATAATGGAGGGGGGGGGACTGTATTTTCATCTGAATTAATATTCTGTATTAATACTGTATTAATGGTCTGCCAGGTGAGTTCATCTAAGATATTTGCTTTGCCTGGACACTTGCCTAAAATAACCATTGCCTGAAGGGCCTGCCATACTTGCTGTGTGAGTCATAACTGTGGAAATAATAATGTAACAATGATGAAAATCTGAATACAGGCCCCTAGGGGAGTGGGGGTTAGGACAATGTTATGATTAAGTTCTTAGCGGACATGAAGGAACAACGCAAATAAACCCAGTGTTTTAAACAAAAGATGTCATATTCTCAAACTCAGCAATCCACGCCGTTTTCTTTAACTACTTGGTAGCTCCTTTGGGCCGTTGGCCTCTTTTTTGCTGTGAGTCTCAGGACAGATGCTGCTTCAGCTCTGTTTACCAGTGGTTACAGTGAAGTTTACCCTGATGGCTCAAAACACATTTCTGTCACAGGCTGGCTTTGTGACTTCAGCCAACTCCTCTGAATGTTCTGTCACTGGAGGGTGCTGGACAAATGATCCTGACATACCCTTCCAGCACTCACATTTTATGAGTCTGCAATTTCACCAAAAATGCTCAGGTTCCTGAGGGAGCAAAACTTCTGGGATCACTTGCTAACTCCAGCTTTTACTGATCTCGTCTCTAGTTTGTGTTTTGCTTTCCCACTTATTGTATTTTTTTTTTTAGTTGGGGAACAGTGAGTTTTTCCAGGACCCGTCAGCTCCAAATCAAGTCAATTTCAATCTAGTTGCAGGAGGGTGCAGCTCAGTGGCCCATGTGGGGATCGAACTGGCAACATTGGTGTTTTGAGCACTGCGTTCTAACCAACTGAGCTAGCCAGCTGCCCCAACTCCAAGTTGAGTCGAATAGTTGTTTCAGTCTAGCTGTGGAGGGTGCAGCGGCAACTTTGGGGTTATGAGCATTGAGCTCTAACCAACTGAGCTAACCAGCCACCCCATTTATGGTATTTTTATACTGCCATATTAGCACCTTCCTATGACTACTTCATGCTCACGCTGTGTGATGTTCGTATATGTACAGACCCACACAGGTAGCCCCACACACTTCTAACGCTGCTTTTCTCTCTGGATGTTTCTAGGTAGGTCTTGCCTCACTGAGATGGCAGAGGATGAGTCATTTAGTTTTCTCGCACCTCAGAGCACTTCACACATGTCAGCCCAAAGTAAAAAGCAGAAAATCAACAAAGGCAAACACAACAAACTCAATACTCAACACCCCGAAAGGATTTCTTAAGAACCTGCTTTCAATGGCATTGTGAAGGAATGAATGTGAGGGGACAGGAGATTTCAAACGAAAGACAAAAATTAAGCAAGTGGCACAGCTCAATTCAAGGAGCTAAATAATTGTGTAACTCAGCCTATTCCATGGCCGGTGTTGCTCTTTCCCCGGGACCGGGAATCAGAAGCTATTGTTTCCTTTGACATTTGACCCCTTAGCATGTGACCTTGAAACAGGGCAGGGACCATCCTTCCTTGCCAATCTCTGATGACTATCACCCAGCATAGTGCCTGGCATCTAGCTGGGTGACTCATTAAATAGCTGTTGAATGGATAACACTGGGCAAGTCACTTAACAGTTATTTGCCTCCCTCAGTTTTCTCATTTACAAAATGGAAAGAGTAATAGCTGCTCTACCCAACTCATTAGATTGGTAAGATGAACAGATAGGATTTAAACATTAAAATGTATCACACAGAGACATGCTAATACCGGTTTATCTATTAAATATGTTTGTTTATGTGACAGGCCTACCAGGGTCAAATATTGGGTTGTCGGAAAAGTCATGACGCATTTTTGCAATGAAAAACATAGAGAAAATACGTCATGGCTTTTCCGACCGCCCAGTGCTTCAGCCTCCCCTTATGCTTTTGCTTTTCTTTTTGGCATAAGTACAATGAGTCCTTAGTCAGCTCAGATTTACAAATGGAAGTACTTCCCCAAAATATCAGAAACCAAGAACTGGTCAAACTTCTTGCATAAGTCCTCAGGATGGGAAATAAATGAGTTTAGAATCCACCAAAACATAATAATAAGATTCTGAGTCATATGGTAAAATGATAAAGACTAGCCCCATCATCATGTGAAAATGTTTTCAGCTTTGAATGTTTAATGGCAGGGTGCCATCTTGTATCTTCCAAATATTGTTCCCTAATAACAAATTTCATTGGCCCCCTAAAGAGGCACTCTGGGAGATGAGGGGAAATTAAAGAATACCATTCTTGGGCCCTGTGTGCCCCTAATTAAATAATGCCCCTGCCCGGCCTCCTCTTTCTGGCTAAATCAGCCGTGTGATTGGCATCCTTGTGGAGGATGCGCTCACCTCATGACACACAGTTTCCTTGGAGATCTGTAACAACGTCCCTGGGACCAAGGCCACCGAGGTGCTTAGCCCATGACTGGCATTTAATTAAGGTCATTGGAAACTATACTGGACCACCGAGGATGAAAAACTAGAAAAGGTGAATGAAATGTATAAAAAACTGTCTAATGCTTTTAAAATATGTCTCCTTTAATTACTTCATTTATAAATCATTCAATAGATAAAGACAACTGTGTGCCAAATACTTTTTCCAACATCTCATTGAATTCTCATGAAGCGGCAAGGCAAACATCATTCTTATTTCTTTCAGAGGAGTAACGTGAGATTAAAAGAGGTTAAATAACTTGGTAACATTTAATCCAAGTCGGCTGACGGAAAGCCCCACCACACACTTAGCACCAAACCACACTGTTGATATTTGCTTCTGCTCTGAAAGCATGAGGTCATCTGAAAAAGAATAACCATTTCTATAGAAAAAAAGTAGAAGCAGCCCCTCCCATTGCACTTGCAGTATTTGGGGTACCCTATTAGGTGCCCGGTCTGGTGGTCTCTGGAATGGGTGCCCAACAGTGGGCTTGCTGGCCAAGTGCTTTTAGACAATGAGAGAAATGGTCCCTGGAACCACATCTTCCAGCCTTGCCACTTTTTTGTTTGTTTATTTGATTGTTTATTATGACCCTGACCTCCTACCAGCCAGATAGAGAAACGATCCAGAATTCTGAGCCCCATGTTACCTGGATTTCATCCCCGGTGATCATTTCCCACGAGCCATAATGACCCTTCTCCTGTCGGAAGAATTGCAGAGCTTCTAAAAAGGCTTGGGCTTCAAACGTTGTCTGCTTCATATAATCTGAAAGAAAGAGGCAAGGGCATTTAGCAAAAAAAATAAAAAAGTTCACATTTGTTCATGGTTCTTCCAGTGTAATGGTTTGGACACGTACCATTACCTGACTATTATAAAGAACAGAATTATGAAACATAGAAAAGTTAGGCAAGTACTGAATTCACAGTTCATCTGCAGGTGTACATCACATTTCTTGCACACCATACCAGCTGATCAATTCTACCAGTTCCTGAGCACCCTGGTGAGGACTAGCAACAGATCTGTCCCCCTCTCTCTCTTATAATTGCTTCCCTCTTTCAGGTATCTGGGCACCTGGTGACCTTATACAACCAGCTGTAACACCTCACACTAAGGCAGAACATTCCTTAATGGTACCTCGTGGATCCACGGTATCCATCCCTTCCCAGTTTCCTCAACAAAACTCCAACTTCTTTGTGATCTGATACCAATTTCTGTCAAAAGGACATCAATATCATATGCTGATTTATGCAAATGAAGGGTGATCATTGCTAACATTTATATAGCAGGATATTGTTCTAAGCTCGTTATGTACTTCATTGAAACCTCATGGAAACCTCTGAGATGAATATCATTATTATCCCTATTATACAGACGAGGAGACTGAAACCACAGAAAAATGAATTGATTACCTAAGGTCACACGGGTAGTAAGGGTGTCAATTCCGGCAGTCTGACTCCGGAGCCTACTTCTAACAACTACACAATACTACCTCACATTCTACTCTTATTGGTTTGCCCTTCCAAGCACGCTGGATTTTAAAAGGTGTCATATCTGAAAGGTGATATCCTGCCACAAAGAAATGAATATCTGATGGTATGATTTTAAGTGTGGTTGAGGAAACGGGCTGAATGGCCTTCTCAGAAGTCCACAAATCACACCATGTATGTGAATGTCTTCATTTCTGCTATGGACTGAGTGTTTATGTCCCTCAAAATTCATATGTTGAAACCTTAATCTTCAATGCGACAATATTTGGAGATGGGGCCTTTGGGAAGTAATTAGGTCATGAAGGCAGAGCCCTCATGATGGGATTAGTGACCTTATAAGAAGAAACACGAATGACATGGCAGAGGCTGGGAGGGAAGGCTAGCTGATCCTCACAGCCACGTTTGCCCCTCTCACCCAGCTTCTACCCTCCTGGGGCTGGTCTTACTGGAGACCTGTTGGGTCCACATTTTTTTCCGATACTTTCACTTCTATTCTCCTTTCTTTTGGGAACTATCCTCTGAAAATAAAGACAGGCTTTTCCAGGACTGCCTTCCCACACCCCCTAAAAAGAAAAAACATAAACTCTCACCCCTACCTCCCCAGACAATGGATCTACCAGTGCTTTGATCTTGGAGTTCAAAGACTATGGTATTTTGGGCCGGCAGAGTGGC